GGGGGGGGCACAGCCCTGGCTTAATCAAGCCCACCCTCACAGCTGAGGGATAAAAGGAGAAGACGGCTTGCAAAAGGCCCGGGAAGCAATTGCAACGGAGGGGGGAGAAAGGAGGAAGAAAGGCACCCCCGCCCCAATTTCTAGGCTGTGTACTATCAAGGCAAAGCCCAAGAGGTACCGCGCATGCGCACTACGGCAACCAGCGGCTCCCTATCTGCTAGCAGCAGCGTCGCCGCCCCAATACGCATGCGCGCCCGTCCGCCGCTCATCAATGGCTCACTATTTGGCAGTTCCCTCCTCACGTCCCTCAGGCCTGGCTAAAGCTAAAAGCTACCAGCGAAGAAGAAAGCGCGCTTTTTACCTGCTGGATACTCGACGTGAGTGAGAGACACCGAATTCCACGGAACAGGGACCGAGCACTCTCCGACTGCGGCCATCTTACCCGGATACCGGGCCGGGCGGCCACAGCCAATCGGCCGGCACACACGGGGCGGGGCGGCCAGTGGGCGTGCCTGCGTGGCCCGCTCGACCAATCGGGTAGCTCGCCAGGTGAGGCCTCCAACCAATCCTCGAATACTACCACACCCCCGCGGCCTGTCCTTCCCTTGGAATCAAGCAGCCAATCACAAAGCCCGGTCCATGGCCGGGCCCAGGTATAAGAGAAAGCCAATGGCAGGAGAAACGGGGCGGGCGGCCACCGAGGATTGGCTGGCTCTGCACGCCAACTGAGAAGTTGCTCCGCTGGTCCGCCCCTCCTCGCTGCCTCTTCTCCTGCCTCCTCGCGCGCTCCCGTTCAGAGCCAATCAGATCTTCGGGAGTGGATGGCGGGCTGAGGAGCGATTGAATGGGAGCGCGGTGCATTGTGGGACTGGGCTCACCCCCTGTTGTGACTCAGGGCTATCATGGCCAGATGGTGGCCTGCGGGGTGCTCAGCCGTGCTTTACTCTAGATTGTTGAATAAATCACAACTAGCTAGGCTGAAAGAAACTGCTAAGCCCTGTTTACAAACAACAGACCCCTTAGGGCACTGCTTCCTAACTTTTGCAACTTTATGGCTTAAATTCCCAGAATTCCCTAGTATGAAAGGCTGGCAGGGGAATTCTGGGAGTTGAACCCATACATCTGAAAATTGCCAAGGTTGGGAGACACCACCTTACGGTCTACGTAATCCTACATTATTGAATAAACTACAATTCATGAGTTTGCACGTTCCCATTGAGCAACCGACAACAGCTTGCAAGCTACACTGATTATGTTCACACAACGTACTAAATTGTATTTGCATAACTTTAATGAATTGTGAACAACATGAATAAATCATCACATTCGATAAATACGCCCTGAATGAAATTAAATAAGATCTGTATTAAATGCTAGCTGAGGTATAAAGGGTGGAATATATATAAATAATAAAGTAAGTCTTATCTGACTGACTCATCTTTGCCAATTTGAACCGGAGAAAACCTCAGCCACCCTTTGTCTTCTCCATCTGGTGTGAATTCATTAAAAAAAATCTGTTCAGACATGAAACAAACATGGATTTTAGAGCCAGACATATTTCAAAGCTTTGCAGTAACCTAATAACAGATTAGTGAGTGGGTTAGAGAAACCTCCGTTCTTGTAAAGATTAGTTTTTTTGTGTGTTCACATAGCACAAAGACTTCAAGGATTTGTAACAGAGAAGAAAATTCATTTTCCTTGCTTCTTTCTCTCTTCCGGGCACCATCTGCACGAGATCAATTCCCCGGAGATAGTAAATACAATTAGCAGGCAAAAGCCAAGCCAAACCAGAATGGCGCAGAAGAAAACAAGATGCAGAAACAATAAAAGCAAATTACATTGGGTGGTTTAGCTATCGTATTATTGACCGCAACTCCTACGGAAATGAGAAAAGTTGGTTGTTTGCCAGAAGTATTTAGTGCCATTTTTTTTTAATTTTGCTGAACTAGAGGTCAATCAATCCAGTAAATATACAAAAGGAGAAACGCAAGAAGTCTTTCTAGAAAATCAAAGTAAGAATTTCATCACCAGCAGCCTGCAGAGACCGGGCAGAGAATAAAATAAAATGAAGAAATTCTGTGTAATGAGATTTGCCCGGCTGTCTTGCACAAATCCAGCCAGTTGTTGTTTGATCCACTACAGGTAGTTCTCAACTTACAACCATTCATTTAGTGAACACTTGAAGTTACAATGGCACTGAAGAAGTGACTTATGACTACTTTTCACACTTACGTTGCAGCATTAAGCAAATCTCCACCACTTCCATTAAATTGAAAGAGGGGAAAAGGAAAACACTCCAGACCACCGTAATAATAAAGGAAATATTTATTTGATTTTTTTTTCAGTGCCAAAAGTTCTAATAGGATACAAAAGTTTTAATTGCAAGGGGGATTGAGAGGCATAAACACATCGATCACGGAAGGGGGGGGAAATAAAGTCCAAGCAAACCAAAATAATGAGGCACAAAAATTACATTCAATTCCTTCCACATTTTCAGGCAATATTCCCCAAAATGGGTTTCCTCCTCTTCAATCCCAGGAATTCTCCAGCCAGCAAAGCTGATTACGGAATTCTGGGAGTTGAAGTCCACACATCTTAAAAGTAGCCAAGGCTGAAAAACACTGCTTTAGATGTCGATCAACTACCATACATAATTCCCAGAATATTGCTCTTCTCCCTCCACCTCACATCCCATGGACACAGGATGTTCAGGATTTAGCAAAATCCAAGGATCACAATCTCCCCACAGCACTTTGATTTGCAGGCAGGAAAGTCCACTTTTCCCAGGCTGAAAATGTCCAAATCTGTAGGAAAAGGTAGCCAGGACAGTCGGGATCTCTACCGGCTACTCAAAAAGTGTCCAGGTCAGTGGTCAATTGTCATACCAAGTGAGCGAAAATGATTTGGGCACAAGAAGCTGTTGGGGTTTTGTGTTCCAATTCCCCCATTTCTGGGAGAAGAAGGTGCCTTCAGATTGAAGGAGAAAATTCCCAGTTTTTGGAATATGGCCATGAAGATGCCGGAGAGAAAAATAAAAAAGGAAGTTTGTCTCATCTATGAAAGTAGATAAGGTCTCAAGCTAATTGGGATTTTAGAGTAAAGCATTTCTTGCAAGGCTTCACTGAAACATTTGATCCTTTCCAGAAGGCCCGGTGAGATCCAGCCTTCCCTCCTTCCTTCCTTCCCTCATTCCCATCTTTTTCTTTCTTTCTTTCTTTCTTTCTTTCTTTCTTTCTTTCTTTCTTTCTTTCTTTCTTTCTTTCTTTCTTTCTTTCTTTCTTTCTTTCTTTCTTTCTTCTTTCCTTTCTTTTTCTTTCTTTTCCTTCCTTCCTTCCCTTCCCTTTCCCACCATCTCCTTCAGAGGGCCTTCCATCCGAGACCACCATATGTGCAAGAATCTTTAATATTATTAAATATATTGTTAAAAGTTTTGACTTTACAGCGTTTTTCAACCTTGCCAACTTGAACTCCCAGAATTGGAGTTCAACTCCCAGAATTCCCTAGTCAGCATGCTTTAAGATACGCGAACTTCAGTTCCCAGAATTCTCCAGCCAGCATGCTGATTGGAGCATTCTGGGAGTTGAAGTCCACCCATCTTCAAGTGGCCAAGGTTGAGGAATGCTGATAAGACAGACAATAAAATAAATTCAGTTAAAAAAAATTAAAGCCGAATTTTCCAAATCAAATGATCAAAAGGTCCCTAGAACTCAGCCAGGTCTCTCCCCACTTGTCTTTCTTTTTGGCCATCACATTTCACAGGGGAAAAAAGTGTCCTTGTGCACTAATCTCAAAACAGGAATATCCGACAGGGCTCGGCCACAATTTATGCAAGTATTAAATAACTAGAAACAGGCAGGGCCGGTTGGCAAAAACTTCCCATCTGGATGATGCTGGACACATCTGGGCCATTAAATAATCTCTAAATTAGTGTTTTTCAATTGCAGTGATTTTAAGTTGGTTGAACATTAATCCACTTCTCTTAAAAGTTGCCAAGGTTGAGAACCACTGCTCAAAATTGCTTTTAAGTTAGACAATTCAAATAGAAAATGTTTTGCTGCCTTCGGTCTTCGGCTTCCGAAATAGGGAGGCCGGTTGCCTTTAAAAAGGAGAAAACAAATCCCATTTATAAGCCCCAAACGGTCTTCTCCGAGCAAGCAAGCTTAGTTGACGCTATCGAAGGAAACACTGTCATTTCCCAGAGTCCCATTGACCTCTGGGATGGTCTCCACGCCTAAGTAGCCGAGCAGGATGTCACTGCGACGCCGTGACAGCTGAAGGATGTCTTCGGCTAACAAGGACACCGTTGTGTACCTTACAATGTCCAGGTCAAACATGTCCTTCAGATATTGCATAATCTGATGCTGGAGAAAGAGAGAGAGGATTACAGGCAGTCCCCGTCTTACGACCACAGTTTGAGCCCCAGATTTCTGTTGCTAGGTGAGACATTCGTTAAGTGGGCTTTGCCCCATTTTACGACCTTCCTTAAAAGAATCACTGCAATTCTTAAGTTAGCAACATGGCTGTGAAGTGAACCTGGCTTTGCTTGTCGGAAGTTCTTAAAAGGGGATCACGTGATCTGGAGAGACTGCGACCGTCATAAATGTGAGTCAGTTGTCAAGCATCTGAATATAAATCTCCTGACCCTGGGGATGCTGCAATGGTCGTGTGAAAAACGGTCATCAGTCTCTTTTTTTCAGTGCCGCTGTCACTTCAGTCACTAAATGAACTGTTGTTAAATCCGAGACTCCCTGCATAGGCTCTGACATTCTATGTTGGATAGTTTGTTTACCTGCCCGGCAGTCACAATTTGGGGACAACAACTGTTATTCCTGGTGGGTGCTAAAGAACAGTCACTCTGTAAGGGAAAATATCCGAAGCCTTGAAAATACAACAGCCACTTCATCCTGCCAATCTCCTGACTATATCACATATTAAAGAGAGAAAAAAAGGAATAGATGCCAAGAGCCATTTAAAAACAAAAATCACATAAGGGTTTGTTTTTCTCTTTTTAAGTGACCGCATATCCTTTGCCCACTCTTCCATATTATTTTTTTTTTTTAAAAAAGAGCATTTACCTTGAAAAAACTGCAGACTTCAAAAAGCTGCTGTTTGGGCCCCAGGAAGCCAAAAGCCAGGACGGGGCTGACGTGCTCCGATACGGAGTAAAAATGAGATATAAAACCATCCGGAACCTGAAACCGAAGCGGAGGTTGAGAAGACGGAACGGTTGCCACTTGCAAACCACATATCACACACAAGAACCGCGCGCTCTTCGCCAGGAAAGATCGCTACAAAAACACAGAAACCAAGAATATAAATTCTTGGAAAATCCACTGGGGTGTATAAGAGGAGTGTTTAAGATGTGTGGATTAACTATCCAACAAACTGCCACCTGAAGAGGGCTAGAAAACCCCTCCAAATAATTTTAGCAGATCCTGCAAGGAGTAGACTAGATGACCACTAAGGTCCCCTGCCATCCTTTCATCAAATCCCCACTGGAAAGAGGTTTATTTAAGGAGAGAAAAAATGGGATCGGGTCGTTCTCACGTACCATCAGAAGCCGCCTCTTCGCCTTCAGAACTGACCAGCAGGCGGTCGCAAGAGCCTGAAATGAGAGACAAAAACAGGTAGACCTGCTTGGTTAGTTTTCCCCTCGTTGGAACGTTCCAGAAGACCGGAAAGTATGAGGTCCTCCCTAAAACCTAACCCTCCTTGGTTTCTGTGCCTAAACCAGGCTGGCCTGGGGCTATCAGCTGCTCTGCCTCCGTGACTCCGAGGAGCCTGTTCCTCTCCGGACCCCTCATCCCACCCCCGGAAACGCACCGTCTCCTTGAAGCTGTCGGAGAGCCAACGGTTGCGCAGGATGGCCACAACGGAGGAGGGCGGATTCTCCAGGTCTTCTAAAGCATCCATGAGGATGAAGTCCAAGGCAACATCAAAGAAATTCATGCAGACCACCTGAGAGACGGACAAAAAGAAACAATCCATGTTTATTCACCCAAATCGCAGCAAACCTCCCTAATTCTGCCGCCTCCAGGATCAAACCGGTTTCAGTTTTATTAATCATATTGGTATTGTCCCCCCTCCCCTAATTGGAGGGGGGCTGGATTGAGGTCGGGCAAATAGATCAGTCAGAAATTTGATCCCAAAGCTGAAAACCCGGATGGAGGCAAAGATCTGCCCGTGAAAGTTTCAAACGGGCAAAATTTCTTATTAAGTCAATCTTTTGTAAGAAGCCCAACACTCACCCCTCGGCCTTCCAGTTCCTTCTGTGTGGTTGGCCAAGTCTCCTGTCTCAGCGTGTAGAGCAGCATCTCCTTGTAGCTTTCAAGGAAACCCTTTGTGTTCTGGAAGAGCAGAATCAGAGGAAAGCAGCCCAAAACCAGTCAGACGAAACCAGCCAGATTTGCTTGTTGCTTCTCAATCAGTTCCATGAGGTCTAGAGGTTTCCTCAGATCTAGTTTGTTTAGTTAACCCTGATCTCACAGGGACACCCCTGCCCAATGGGGCTTATGTTTGGGGCAGATCCTCAGAAGATCTTTGGTAGACCACTAGAAGGTCTCAAGATGTTACTGCAGTTGTCACACTACACTGAGCAGACCCTGTGGTAGATCCCAACCAACCTCCTGGGAGATCCACTGTCTTCTCCCCCGCCCCCCCAGCACAATCACAGAACCCTTTCATGACTGGTCCTTACCTTCTCGGCCTTGGTCATCAGCCCCATCACCATGCGTTTGCCCACCTCCCCAAAAAATGTCTGGTTGTTCTCCACCAGCAGCAGTTCCTGTGAAGAGATCAGCCTTTGGAAACCACGGTTCCTTGGATGGAAGTTGAAGTTCAGCATGGAGGTCCACTGTGGCTTGTCAACCAAGCCAATTCTTTCTGGACCAGACACAGCAGTAAAGCCAACTTCCTTCCACCCCCAACTTGCCATTCTTCAGATTCAAGGACTCCAACAGACATCAGGGCAGAGTTGGCCCAAGCCTTGAAGGACAACTAGCTTCAAGGGAGAACCAGCTTCAAGGTCTTCAGAGGAAACCAACTTCAAGGGAGGACCAGCTTCAAGGTCTTCAGAGAAGACCAGCTTCAAGAGAGGATCAAGTTCCACGGTTTCCAGGCACCCACCTGAAAAGCTTGCCTGATGCAGTGAAGCTTTGCCAGAAAATCATCATCGCTGTAGCACCCCAAAAGCTCTGTGCTGGAAGAGGAGAAAGTTAGGCGGTGGGGTGGGAGGGCAGAGAACATCTAGGTCAGTTTTCCCACCCTGATGCCCTCCCAACCTTGAGATTACAAATTCTGAAAGATGAAAGCCTGGGAATCTCAGATGCACCACAGACTCCTGGAACAGGGAACCAGCTAATACCCAGGGTTGCCCTTAACATCATTTCGGACAACCAAAGGCTACAGTTGGCCAGGACGACCGTTCATCCTGCAATCTTTGTCTTGAGAGCCTTTATCATCATATCTCAGAATTATATCTCAGGACTTCAATTCCCAGAATTCTCTATCAGCTCAATCAAGAACCAGGAACTTTAGGAACTGTGATTTGAGAATTCTCCAAACATCTCAGGATTTCAACTCCCAGAATTCTCTACCTACAGAACCAAGAGCTAGCAACTCTGCCCTTGGTACATTTGGAAGTCTCTAGCTAAAGGAAGTTGTGTTGGCAACATTCAGTTTGGGATAAGGAGTAAGCATAAGGAACAAGCTAAAACCTGATGGATCTAAAGGTCCATCAGATCCATAATGACCTTGAGGCCACCATGGGAAGATAAATATCCTGAGGCCTGCCTACCCCGAGCTCACCGAAAGGTCCTGCACAAAACCAACCCATCCTTCACCAGCCGCAACGCTTCTTTGTAGGCAACAGCTGGCTTAGAAGGCTGGAACGGCGTCTTCTCAATTTCCAGGGAGTCAAAGATCTGGGAGAAAAGCAGAAACCACAAAAGGATTTCTTAAAACATTAGAGGTCCCCAAGAGGCTCATCGAAGACACACTACAATTATAGACCGAGCAGAAACAGTTTATCATTTGTAGCCTTGACTACTACACAGACGTTTCGTGTGGGACAGCCCTAGGAGACTGCCCTGGGTCACGTGATCCCATTTGCAACCTTCCGACAAGCAAATCAATGGAGAAGCCAGATTCATTGAACAACCCTGTTACTTCACTTAACAAATGTCTCGCTTAGCAACAGAAATTTTGGACTCAATTGTGGTCGTAGGTTGAGGATTTACCTGTATAATGAATAAATGAACAAGGCAAAGCACTATGCGGGGTTCAAATTACCTCCGCGGCCGAGAAAAAGGATTCCTCGGAGGTCACACTATCTGCCTCCTCATCTTGCTGGCGCCTTAGAGACTGCTCCGTCAGTGGGAACATCAGAGTCTGCTCTGAGGAAGAGGAAAAGAAAAAATTTAGAGGCGTAGTGGTGGTTTATTTGGATCACAGGCAGCATAAAAGTGGGAACATAACAGCCCTTCTGAAACACAAATCAACATTTTAGAAACCATCTCGGTACAATAAAATACAGTGAAAATAAAACTGTTAACGTACAATGACAACGTCAGAGTTAAAACCTGGGCGAGACCTATACAATCGCAGTCAGTCTGACCATGGTTTGGAGAGGCCTGGTCTTAAGTTAGGACAAGCCCAGTTTCTCCCAGAATTAGCAAACCGGCTCTGCTCACCTAAATCAAGCAACAGGTTGTCGGTCGACAGAGAGGATCCAAACTCTTCCTGGAGGTTATACGCCCGATACAGGAGCAATTCCAGCTTGTCTGCAAATTCTTTTTTCTGAGATTCCTGCTTCAAAAAGACAAACACGGCTGCACTCGACATAAAATGAGGATCAGGGTCATAAAATGAGGATCAGGTTTCGAAGAACCAGAATCCCGAATTGGGTTCTTAAACCTCTGTTGATGTAGCTTTACAACAAAGCAGAATTTGCTCATTCCTGAATAGTTTACCCAGCCAGTCTGCCAGGAAATCACCCCGGAAATAAGCCAAGGTCTGTCCGTTGCCCAAAACAACTTGGCGAGTGTGTCCATGAAGTCCCCTCAAAGGGGATTCTGGGTTTTACCAGCTATGGGGCACCGGAGGGACTGTACCTCACAGAGGTCTTCAGGCAGCAGCAGGTCTTCCGCCCTGGGGACGACCCAAGAGGCCGAGAGGCTGGGGGGGTCCCTCTGACGGACGGTCAAGGCCTGCTCCCACTTCTGCAGGGCCTCTTCAAACAGCTCCATGCCTGCCAAGGAAGAGAGACCCCCAGATGACCAGCAACAACCAGATTTGAGCCTCCTCTTGGCAACCTGTATCCCACTAAGCTGATGCCTGCTAGGCTGGGGATTCTGGGAGTTGAAGTCGTCCCCCCCCCATGCTGGCTGAGGGATTCTGGGAACTGAAGTCAACACATCTTGTTGTTTTAGTTCTTTTAATATTGCAGGCCAGCCAAAGTCAACCTTGTGGTGAGATGGGTGGCAAAGAAAATTTAATAAATAAAGGAGTTCAAAAATAAAATTAACCTTCTATGTTCCCTACAGACCGAATTAACCCAGTACGCTAAATTTCAAGCTGTGTTCACACGCTACAACGAACCATCGAGCGTCTGATGGCATTTTAGGGTCACATGCTATGATCAGCAAGCTAAGGCGACTCCGTAAACCCTCATCACACGGTTGATGGGAAAGGGGGCTGCCCAAATGCCACCCAGGAGCATTGAGCACACGGACCCAACTCAGGAAACCGATCTCAGCTCGGAGAAAGGTGTGGGGCTAATTTGCACACCAACTCCTTTTTACCTTGAAAATAAAGGTTTTCCGCACTGCAGTCGCCAGCAGCGCCCGGATCTTCTCCCCCCAAAGGGGCTTCCCAGGGGGCTGCAGGAGCTGGGGTGGGGCTGGGGGAGTTGACAACCGCCATCTAGAATGAAAACCAGGGAAACAAACATTGTAAAACTTTGAATGGTCACGAAACGAAGTAAGCCGAGGACTACCTATAGCAACTGTTTCTCCCCACCCACCCTGGGGGGCTCAAGGGCCCCTCCCCGAGCGTCTCTTACGGAGGCCAGGCTGTGCGAAGAGCTGGAATGCTTGCTGGGCTCCAGGGAGGAGATCCCGCTCAGCGTGTCGTTGCTCTTGCTCCCGGGACTCTGCAGCCGACGGCCGGAATAACCTGAAATTAGAGGAAAAAATGCAAGTAAACGAGGGGGAAAAAAAATAAAGAACAAATTTCTGTTGCGCAGCACCCAAAGTCAGTCGGTGTCGTGAAGGGGCAGACGTCCAAACTTCGAATCCAAGTTGTAAGTAGCTTTTTTGGCGTCCGTTGTAAATTCAAACCATCGCTAAGCAACCAGTCATAAGTTGAGAACTGTTCAAGCTAGTAAAACAGTCATGTCTGATGTCATAATGTGAAATCACTACCCCGATGTATGCGGACTCCTATACAAAGCCATACTTTTATTTTCTCTTTCTGTTTGACCCATTTTAATCACCCTGATCATTAAACAAAGCTACAGATTCTGGGCTGCAAACAGAATTAAAAAAGACCATTTTAATTACCCAACATTGAGGTCCCAATAAAACTTATCACCGAATGTAGGCAGCTCTATTCCCGCTTCAGGCATGAAAGCCGGCTGGGCAACTTTGGGCCAATCACCAGGAGACTGCGAGTTCTAGTCCCGCCTTAGCCTTGAAGGCCAATTGGGTAACTTTGGACCAGTCAGTCTCTCTCAGTTGGACCCACCTCACAGGGCTGTTGTTATGGGGAAAATAGGAAGGTACATTAGGTATGTCTGCCACCTTGAGTTATTTAATAAAGGTCGAATATAAATGAATAAAAAAGAAGAAATGAATTTATCCATCAAAAAAGCAACCTTCGATCGCCCTCACCTTTTTTCACCGAGGGGACCCGGCGGGTGGGCAAGATGGGCACCGGAACCACCACAGGCTTGGTGCTGGACTTCTCTGGGGTGATTCGTTTCTTCCGCCGTCGCCGCTTCAACTGGTGGGCCGTCAAGGCCAAAGCTACCGTCCCAAGAGCCGTGGCAAAGAGCACCTTCCGGAGGCCGGGAGTGATCCTCAGCGCGGAGAAGGCCGACTTCGAGAGCAGGAGGAAGCAAAACAACACAACTTTACCATCTGGGCAAAGGGAAGCTTTTGCAGCCCCCTTCAACAGACTAACTCCAAGCGGAACAGCATCCCTCTGGACTTAAGTATGACGTGCAGAATCACGCGAGGTTTCTTAAACAAGCCAACATAATGCGCTTCAGCTAGCCTGCTAAGCTGTAAATCATTGCTAAGAATCTCTGCTCGCCCTAAATGTTTTATTTCGTTTACCTGCCCAAACGTGGTGTAAAGGAACACGGGGATCTCTGCTACGGTCATAGCCAAGGCCTGGATAATGGACATGCCCTCCGTCCTCTGAAACGCCATGTTGGGAAGGTGCTCGGGTTGTGCAAACAGGCGTCGCGAATGAGGTTGTGCTGTTGACACGGCAGTCCAGCGTCAGGCAGGATCCAACCATCGGCCTTCCGAAGTGCATCTATTTCCTGGAGCAGAGGCAAAAAAAAAATGGTGGAAAACTCAGAGAGAACCAGCCAGAAAACGGCAAAATCAGGAGAACGAAAACGATGGACCAGGTTAATTTTTAAACTTCAGGACAAACCCTGGTGGATGAAGATTTAGATACGTTTCACGGCAAGTCCAGAAGACAGCCAGCAGGGTTTACGGTTGCATGATGGATCAATCTCATGACAGCTTGCCCTCAACTTATGACAAATCTTGCCCATCACGGTCCTAAGTTGCAGCCATCGTAAATCAGGTCAACCGTGAGCAACCCAATTTATTTTATGTATTTCTTTACTTGCATCCTGCCTTTATTATTTTTACAACTAACTCACGGGGGCAAACATATCTGACACTCCTTCCTCCTCCTGAAAAATGTGCAAAATGTCTCAATTCTCACAGAATCAGAGTTTGGCCCATTGCAACAATTCCCCATTGCTCAGAAGGTGGTGTTTTACGCGCAACACTGAAACATTTTGAACACAATTAGCCTTGGCTTTTGAGAAAGTTTCTGGTGTACTCCCCGATTAAAATATCTCCTCCAGCCAGTCTCTGCCGAGCTCCTAACTAATTACAAGCTGAGCATAATTTTTGGCAACTCCTTCTGGAAAACATACATGGAAAAGACTCGCTTAGATCACATAGCCTAATATAATCTTAGATAACTTCAAACCTATATAATTAATATAAGAACACGATTCTTGTAATGGTGTTTTAATATGCTATCACTGCATCCCTTAATTGCAAAATTATTACTTTGTATTTGGGGGAAGCTTCGTTTCCCTCCCCGCCCCAATTGTTAAAGTGAAGCTTGGTGTGTAACTCAAAGTTTTCGATGCAAAACTGCCACTCAAAAATATCAAAATTATTCCGGTTAGGATTTTTTCCTCCAGAATATTTTTCTTTAGGTTTTTTTTCCCCTCCTGGCTGGGAAGCTGGAGCAAAGTGATGAGCTTAAGAGACCTGCCACATGCAGTTCAAAGATACACTGCCTCTGCCTGTGGAAGCTCTCCTTGAACCCCACGCTCTCCATAAACACAGTCAGGAATTCGGGATTGCAATAACTGCCTTGCCCCTTATTATAGATCAATTTTTAGACCTCGCCTTTTGCAAATACCCCACGCTCAGACGCTTCCTCCCCATGCACCGCCAAGGCCATTTAATTTCTGTTAATTTCTCCAAACCTCCCCCCTCCCTTCACCTTGGAAAACCAGGCTTGAAGCATCCAACCTATACAGAAATGGCATTCCAGGTAGACTGCTCCTGAACCTGGAGGCTCCGCTCTACCGTTTCCCAGGCTAGGAAAGGCATTTTTTCTCCCCCTCAGAGACGAACCTGGTTTGCATGCACTGAGCTCGGCTTGCACTCGCGAAACCGGCTGGTGCTGCGTCCTGCGTGGGTTTTGCACATCATTCGCTTTGCTATCCTGTCGCCCGCCTGTCAGCAAACCCGCTGGGCGTGCTTAAATTATTAAGCAGTTGTCACAATCCAAGGCGCCTGTTTGGGAGAGATCCACTTTCCCAGCCCCGGCAGAAAGCCGGCTATGCAAAATTATAATCAGCATCAGCATCATCTTAAAACACTGTTCCACCCCCCCAGCCCATAATGGAACAATCCGCCGCCCGTCTCACCTAAGCCAGGTAGCCAATACCATTCTCCTAAACGGGGGGAGCTCTCACCACACCGCTCCGCTCGCCATGGCTGCAGAAGGACAGCGTCTCCTTCCCGCTTCGATCGCAGCCGCGCAGACTACCCTGTCTAATCTCCGCCTAGCGAGGGAGACCGCAGACTGGCAGCCCTCTCAACCAATTGAAACGGCCGCCCGTCCAGAGCGGACCAATAGCCACCCTTTCGTCGCTTAACTTAGCGCAAAAGAATCTAGGGCTAGGTTGAGCCACCAAAGCCGCGTCCTTGTTTCCCAATGGGAAAGGAGGCGTGTTTTAGAGCTGATTGGCTCCTGCGCGACGTGGAAGCGGAGGGGCGGGGCTCTTCTTAAAGGGGCATTGCCTTCTGCACTTGGCTAGAGGCTAGTCGGGGAATGAAATAAAAACAGGGACTAGAAACACGCAGCGCGTCTCTTTTCCGTTCATATTTGAATGAGAATTTATATTCTGTTTTGAACACTGTAATAATTGCAATTTAAATTAGAATAAGAATAAAAGGTTTTATCTCTAGCATCCTACAATACAAATCATACCCGATAAACAGATTTATTATTACATTTGTAAGAGGCACAAGCCTGGAATCTGAAAGCGGTGACAATACATTAAACTTGGTTTTAGCTGGTGAATCTAAATCTATCTCTAGGCAAGAGTGCCAAGCAGGTTCCCAGGCTCCGCTTCCTTTGCAACCAAAGGGTGACCCTAATCATCCTCGTTGCAGAGAAGAGCAAGAACGACGATAAGGGGGCCGGAGGCTAAAATGTATAAAGAACGGTTGCAGGAACTGGGCACGTCTAGGCTGATGAAAAGAAGGACTAGGGGTGCCCGAGAGCAGTCTTCCAATATTTGAGGGGCTGCCACAAAGAAGAGGGGGTCAAACTCTTCTCCAAAGCATCTAACGGAAGACAAGAAACAATGGATGGAAACTAATCGAGAAGCAACCTGGAATTAAAGTAATCAGTGGAAGAGCTTGCCTCCAGAAGTTGTGGGTGCTCCATCACTGGAGGCTTTCAAAAAGAGAGTGGACAGCAGGAGGTTGGACTGGATGATCTCTGAGATCTCTTCCAAACTCTGTTATTGTATTATGTTCTATGCTACTCCGGGGATGGAGTGCTTTCCCCGAGGGTGCCGGGCGGAGCCTGCAATGGCAACCGGTGCGTAAAAACGCGGCGCTTTTACGCGCGGCGCTGGAGAGCTCCGGCCGGGCCGGGTGCCTTTAAGGGGCTGCTTGGCTGGCTGGGCGGGGAGGGGCGTTCGCGGCGCTCGAGGCTGGCGGCCGTTCGCTGGCGTTGCTCTCCGCCTCCTCGCCTGCCCGCAGCGCCAGCCCAGCCCCGCCGGCTCGCTCTGCTGCGGGGAGAGCCAGCCAGGCAGCCGGCCGTCGCCCTCGCCGCTTTCCCACGCCATGGATTTCAACATGAAGAAGCTGGCATCGGACGCGGGCGTCTTCTTCACCCGAGCGGTGCAGGTGGGGCGGGCAGGCGGCCAGATCGGGGTGCGGGGCCTCTGCAAGCGGGGGAGCCGCGTCTTTCCCCGCCTGATCGTCTGAATCGGGCCGCTGTCTGAAGCTGGAGGGGGAGGGAGCTTCTTTGGGCGCCGCGGGTGGGGCAGCTCGGGCTCTAATAATGACACTAAGGACCATAATGCACGCCTGCAAGGAGTGTCGGGGTGCAGGAGGAAGAGGAGGCGGAGGGCAGGCTGCCTTGTTTCGCCCGCGTGCCAGAGAAGCGTGGGAAGGGAATGCCAGGCAGAAAAAGAAATAGGTCGTGTTTATCATTCTCTTCCCCCCGCCCTCCAAACCCGGGATCTGACTTAATGCAACATGCCTGGCTGGGCCAGTGAGGACGGATGCATGGATGGGTGGGTCGGGTTGCAGTTGGTTGGCTGGATCAGTTGCGTGCTTCGTGGTTGTGTGAACGAGGCCTGCTTAGATTTAAAGGGCAAGCTTCCCATTTCTGCTCCGAAGCTACAGGTCATCCCCCAAAGGAGCACCCAAACAGGGCAGGCTGAACCAGGATTGGGGGGGGGGGCGTCCTGCAAAACTCCCCTTGGAGCCTCCCCTGTACATCTCTGCTTGTCTGAATGAAGACAGAGAGCGATGCTGGTGTTTTTGTTTGTTTGTTCCAGCTGGCTCCTGTGGAGGGGGGTGCACTAAACCAGCTGGCTGCTTTCGCCCACAAAGTCTTAAGCCATTATCTGGCCCCCGTGGCATTTTGCAACTGACTATTTCCTAAAGACTCCAGCGGGTGACTGTGCAATCTTGCTGGGCCCTGCGACCCTTTCACCTTTTTAATTTGGGGGTTTGTAAATGCTACTTTCCCAAAGGCTGCAGCCAGAGGAACCAAACCCTGGTCTGAACACACCTCAAACATATGGTGCCTGTCGTACTGACCTTGCAGTTTAAATATGGAGGGGAAAAAAGGCAGTAAAGATTTCCTGGAATATCACACCCCGGTCCTTTGGTAAGGTCGTCAAAGAGAATTTGTTCCGCAAATGTCCCTCTCTAGGTTGCATCTGATCCTCCAACTGATGGGACTTTTATTTCTGTTCACTGGAGGTGCTTGCTAGACAAATGCACGTTTTCCAAAGGTTGGGCTCTGTTGCAGAAGACATAAGATATAAAGAAGTAGAATGAAAGATGGCTGGTGTTCGGAAGAAGAGAAAAAAAATTATAGATATTGGGTAGGAATTTTTTGTCCCAGCCTCTTTTTTCTGACTTGTTAATGAGGAAGGAATGAATTGAAGCCACTTGGCATTTTTATTTTCTAAGCAAACCAGCGAAGAACAAAAAAAAAAGCTTTCTAGCTATCATCTTTGCAGTCCTGGGTACTTTTTAAATTCAGTTAACTTCCAAGCAGGGCAGGCAGCCTGACCTGCACTTAGGGATGCTCGAGATACAGGTATTCCTTCATTTAGCAGCATCCTGGCCGTAACTCGAGTGCCACCTGTACTTTTGGTTTGGGGCTGTCACAGCGAGTAGCTTGCAGAACCGCAATTTTGGCCCCTGAAGACTGAATCTTCCCCAGGATGGGAGAAATTCTCCTGCGGAATTCCTAACCTTGGGGTTTGGGATGATGGGTAAGCTAACACACTGCAGCTGCCTCTTTCCACTTGACTGAGCCCCAACAGCGGAGGAAACCGGACCGGCTGGTAATTTATCAGCCAGGTTTCTTTGCCAGCTGAAAGCTGGTGAGGCTCTCTGGGTGCTGAGTCACCAATCAGCTCTCTTGCGTGGGGCCGGCTGGTCCCGTTCCCAGGAAAGCTTCAAGTTGTTTTTGTGTACCCTTTCCAGGAAAACAACAATAAGCGTCAGCATCCTCCTTGCAAGTGGTGTTTAGCCACTGGGTTTGCTTTTAAGGGTAGTATTTGGCTGTGGGAACCATCCAGCGTCCAGCTGGTTTCAGAGGAGTGGTGAAAAGATCTTCAGATGGGAGGCGTTTTTGGTCGTCCTCCCCCAAAAATGCCAGTAAAGGAGAATATTTGTAGCTCAGGGTTGAAACGAGCTTGGTGGTTTTCCTGCAGACGTTTCGTGACCCAACTAGGTAACATCCATGTCCATTGTTCAGTCCTTATCATCCTTTCGCCATTCAGACGTTTCAGACGTCACATCATCAGTGGTAGAAAAGAATGAGGTTTGTGGAGAGGAGGAGGAGGAGGAGGAGGAGGAGGAGGAGGACTGTGGGGTCCTTGGTGTTCTCTGAAAAGGTAGTTTAAAAAAATGACACGTCCGTTTTTCACATTTATGACCGTTGCAGCGTCCCCTCAATCAAACATACGAACACACTCACACGCCTAGTTCTTCTCTTCCGCTTCACAGTGAGGCCTCTGCTCTGGTTCTTTCACTACAAGCTCTCATTCTCTCCCTCCCGCCCTCCCCTCCATTTCAAGTTATAAATTATTGTGTGTTGTGAAGTCTTCACTCAGGTCCTCTCATACGGCTTAAATAGATAAGCATAGATGTATGCCACAGGACTGTGGATTGTGCAGTCTTCACTCAGGTCCAGCACTCAAGCACTAAAATACACTCTCTGCCCACTCTAGTACAGCTTAAATACATAGGCATAAATATAAGCCAGGGTACTGGGCATTGTGAAGTCTTCACTCAGGTCCAGCACCCTTGCCTCCTCCTCCTCCTCCTCCTCCTCCTCCTCCTCCTCCTCCTCCTCCTCCTCCTCCTCCTCCTTTTCGAAATACGGTGCAAGGGAGAGGCTGTTTCATGCCTGCTTTTCCTTCTCTTCCTGCAGTTCACGGAGGAGAAACTCGGCCAGGCGGAGAAGACCGAGTTAGATGCCCACTTTGAAAACCTCCTCGCTCGAGCAGACACCACCAAAAATTGGACCGAGAAGATTTTACGACAGACGGAAGTCCTGCTTCAGCCGAACCCCAGTAAGCAGAAATTAATTCCATAATTTCCTCCGTCCGAAATGGGGACCTTTGCTCACTGAAAGAAAGTGGGCCGTGCACCCTCACTGGAGGCTTTCAAGGAGAGACTGTCCGCTTTGTTGCAGGTGCCCGAGTGGAGGAGTTCCTGTACGAGAAGCTGGACCGGAAGGTCCCGTCCCGGGTGACCAATGTGGAACTTCTGGCCCAGTACATGATGGAAGCGGCCAGCGACTTCGGCGCCACCTCTCCCTATGGTGAGTCTTGGCCCGGGGAGGCCAGACCGATATTTTGGCAGAGGCAAAGCAGGGGGTGATCTATCCCTCCTCTGCTTGTCGTGGTTCCCTTTCTTACGCACTCGGCCGTCTGTTGGAGATGTTCAGCTTTGCATTGTTTGAGTGAGGGGTTGGGCTGGATGAGCTCAAGAGGGCCAATAAAGGAGAAGATTGCAGGCAGCTTTGACTCCCTGCCAAGAATCTGATTTAGTATTAGGAAAGAACTTTCTATCAGCCAGAAAGCAAGGAAAGAAAACTGTTTTTGTGGCTGGATGTGTCCACACTGAGGCTGCTTTTCTGTGGGGTTCCTGCCTCGAGTGAGGGGTTCGAATCCGTGGCCTCGGGAGTTCTTTCGAATCCAGCAGTCCCACCTTTGGAAGGGGAAGAGTTGCATTGCTGGGGGTTCAAAAACAGAGGCTCGGCAGCTTCCTGCAGCTTAAAGACTTCTCAAATTGAAATTCAGTCCAGCTTGGATGGGAGACCACCAGGAAATGCCAACAATGCGTTCTCTCGCTAGGCAAAACTCTCATCAAAGTTGGGGAAACCGAACGGCGCCTTGGAGGAGTTGAGCGGGACTTCATTCACGCGGCTTCCATCAATTTCCTGACTCCTCTGCGCAACTTCCTGGAGGGAGACTGGAGAACCATTTCGGTGCGTACAAACGGAGGGCAGGACGGATGGGGGAAGAGGGCCCGTTTGGATGGAAGGGGCTCCTTCGGGGGCTTGGCAACTGGCATGCAATTAGGACAGTTGCAGAGTCTCGGGGTCACATGACCTCCACTGCCCACCTTCCCAGCTGGCTTCCGACAGTGTCAATGGGGAAAGCTGGACTCGCTTAATGGCCACGTGATTTGCTTAACAACCACAATTAAACAACCGTGTAAAATTAGACGTGACTCACTTAACAACGGAAATTGCGGTCCCCACTGGGGTTCTGAGTTGAGAACTTCCCTGCGTATCCTAATTCCAAACTGCAAAAGCAGCAGTTTGGGGAATCGGAATACAGAATAACAGAGTTGGGGGGGACCCTGGAGGTCCTCTAGTCCAACCCGGGGCTTTCTCCGTTTTTCCAGAAAGAGCGACGGATCCTGCAAAACCGTCGGCTGGACCTGGACGCTTGTAAAGCTCGGCTGAAGAAAGCAAAGGCTGCGGAGGCGAAAGCCGCGGTAATTTTCTTCCTCTCACCCCCCCCTCCCCACCGGTATGCCTGCCCTCCCCCACCCTGAGCGTATATCCGTCAGCATGTGGCACGTGAGAGCCCGCCCTCCCTTCTCTTTCTCGCCCACCGGATGGGCTGCGTTGTGCCTGTCTCTGATGAGGAAGGGGAAGGCTTAATATGTTTGCCATGCCTTCTGCCCCCACACACCCCCACGCCCCCCCCAAAAGAAGAAATGGTTTCCCTGCTGCAACAGAGAGATGGGGGGGGGGAGAGAGAGCTGGCCCCAAATCTCTTTTGAGTTTTTCATTTGCAAAAACCCAGGGCTTTACTCGCCCCAGCAGGAACTGCAAAATCCTGTGCAAAAAATAGCCAACTTTTTGCAGAGTTTCCACCCTGTTCCTCAATTCAGCTTTCTTTCTCAGAAGCTAACATCCTAGTCCTCATCAAACACTTAGTCCTCCCAAGAGCTTAACCAGCATCCGATTAGGAACGGTCCTGGCCTATCCAGGGGGGGTGATTTAAATCAGCCGGAAGCGATTTAACAAACTTTGTTGGACGCCAGAGGTTTTGTTCCTGCCTGCCTGCCTGCCTTGCTTCGTTTCCCTTTTTGCTCTTCTGAACATTTTGTCCTTCCTGTGTCCTGCTCTCCACTAACCTCTGCTTTTGTTTTGTCCTTTTTGTTTTATTATTTTGTTTTCGTCTGTAATTTTGCTCAGTGTGAGGGAACTGTGAGTATTACTTGTGCTAGTAGTGCTGTGGCATTATTATTATTATTATTATTATTATTATTATTATTATTATTATTATTATTATTATTATTATTATTATTATTATTATTATTGTCGTCATCATTATCGTTATTTTTGGACGGACTGCTCCTTTTGGATCGACCTTTTGGGTGCATGGAGAGAATGGGGCGTGGATGGATGAGGGTCTTCCCTGCAACGGGGGCATACAGCCCCTTCCTCAAACAAGGAACTGGGTTTCAAAGGCAGGATTGCGGGGAACAGGACTGTGTGTACACCGTGCTGGCAAAACGCTAAAGTTTGGCTTTGTTCTTTTTTCCGAGTTAAGTTTCTAGTCCTTAAGAGGTGCGAAGAAATGATTGAAAATGATTGAAAAGGAGGAAACAGCATCTCAATTTTCTGGGCTGATCTCTTTTTTTGAGCTGCCTTCCATAAGAAGAGATGGTAGCTGTTGGCTTTTTTCTTTTCTTTTTTAAAGGAACCAGGTTACACACAGCCCTGTTTTTTGGGGGGGGGGGAAGGGGTGTGAGAATAGTGTGCATGGGGAGGCAAGCCAAGAGGGAGATGGGGACCTTTAGCCAGGAATGGTGGTTTAGGCCTTCGAAGGACTACCCTGGACGTCTAGCTGAATTTATTGTATTTATTTTGTTTTATATCCTGCCTTTATTATTTTTATAAATAACTCAAGGTGGCAAACACACACAATACTCCTTTCTCCTCCTACTTTTCTCACAACAACAACCCTGTGGGATACACTGCCTTGGAAGGTGGAGGTTTCATTTCCTAAGCGCCCCGTTTCATGCAATGAGTTAGATCCTCAGTTTTATCTATTCCGCACCCCCACACACACGCACTTTATTTATTTACTCTGTTGCGCTTTTAAACTTTTGTTCGACTGCAAAATGCCCAGAGGTGGCTGTATTAGTGAGATGGGCTGCATAAATGTCCAATAAATTAATTAATAAATAAAGTCATTCTGAAGCCAGGGCCGTTACAGAAATCTCTTTAGAAAATGCTAAGACTCCACTGGCTAATTATTTCCATGTAGCAAGAAAATCGGTGCCCCTTTTACACCCTTAGGCCCTCCTCCTCCTCCTCCTCCTCCTCCTCCTCCTCCTCCATAGGCTGGCCTAGAGGGATTTCAAAAGCATGAAACCTGCATGGCTGGTGTGGAATTCGGCACTGCCTTTTATTTTATTTTGGGTTTTTTTTCCCCCCAAGTTTCTAGTCCTCATGTTTTCGGAATGCCGTATGTCTGTGTGAGCAAGCAAGGCTGAGAGCGGGAAGAGGAAAAGGCGCCGGCTGGGTGATGTGAATTTCTGCGGTGTGGCTGCTCCTGCCTGCTTTCTCTGGCCCGCAGTACCCGTAATTTCATTTTCTGCCCTCCGAAGAGAATCGGGCGGCTTCCGAGAGTTTACTCAGCCATTCTTGTTCTGCCGTTCGGAACAAAAGAGCATCTCAGTCTCGGCTCCTTTCAGACTGGGTTGGGGGGGGGGGACTTCAGCTTCCAGAGTGTCCCAGCCAGCATGCTAGCTGGGGGATTCTGGGAGTTGAAGTCCATCCGTCTTAAACCAGGCTGGCTGGAGAACGTGGGGACCTTTCTTGAAACGCACCAAGCCCTGAGGACAGGCGGAAGAGAATTGGGAGGACTCTTGGATTTCAGGAGACCCTCCCAACTGTCCCCCTTGGGCCTGGGGGACCCAGAGGGGGCCCCTTCCTCACCAGTTCCCACGCCCCCCCTTTTCCCGACGCATGCTGTGTGTGAACTTGTATTCCCCCATCTATAGGCGGTGCCCGACTTTCAAGAGACTAGACCTCGTAATTACATTCTCTCCGCCAGCGCAGCCGCGGTAAGACCCGTCCCCATTCTCGGCCCCACCCACCCACCCATCTATCCTCGGGCATCCCTTCTCCCCCGACCCCCCTTCCTTGCCAATCTGGATCGAGCACCGGCTGCATCCAGCATTTTAACGTGAGCCAAGCGATCCTCAAAGGACCAGGGGCGACATGACAGCAGTGTTCCAATATTTGGGGGGCTGCCACGAAGAAGGGGGGGGTCCAGCCACTCTCCAAAGCACCTGCAAGAAGCAACGGATGGGAACGAATCAAGGAGAGAAGCAAGCTAGAGGTTCTCCTGCATTAAACACCAACATGGGTGGTACACAGGTGCTTTTTCAAAAGGCAAGACTGGACTTCCTTGGTTTTTCCTTGAAGACGTTTCGCTCCTCGTCCAAGAAGCTTCTTCAGTTCTGATTGCGGTTCAGTTCTAATTCCAGTTCAGTTCACTCAGAACTGGAGAAGCTTCTTGGACGAGGAGCGAAACATCTTCAAGGAAAAACCAAGAAAGTCCAGTTTTTGAAAAAGCACTTTTGGAGCAAGCGTGACCTGGATGATGGAGAATATCCATAGACATGTAGGTAGACCGTCTTTAGCCCAGAGGTGGACAGCTGGATGACCCATAACTCCTCCCTGTCTCCCTCCTGCTTCGCCATCCCTTTCCTGCTCCCCCCCATTAATGGGAGACATTTAAAGAGGGGGGGAAAAACCAATTGCCACTTTATAGTACTTGGCTTTCGCCCGACCACCACAGTGGGGTTCCTTCCCAAAGCAGTTAAGGGGTTTGCCAGCATTATCTACCCATTCAGACATTCGTTTGGTTCATCTGGGTTTGCGGCTGTGCTTCTGCCTCACGTTAAAATGTCGGAACTTCCCAAAAAAACACAAACCCCTTCCCTGTGTCCGTTTTCTGCCTTGCTGACGCTCCCACTGGGAAGGAACCAGGTTCAATCCAGATTCAGGGAGATTGGGGGGCGACGCAACGGGTCCCCCCGGCATTCACTTTGCAGAGGAATTGCTTTTTTTTCACACAGCCCTGCTGGGGCGGCATGCTGGCTGCTCCCCTAAATCATCACCCTGGGGGAGAAGGGGGGGCTTTCTTTTCCACAGTGGTGTTTCTGCTCCAAATTGGCAACTTTGGGTGAGAAGCGCCGGCTTTGGTAATTTGGCCCAAAAAGGAGGAGGCAAAATGTTGGAACTTTGGAGAGAAAAGGAGGACATTCAATGCTGGTTTATTCCGATCCAGAGAAAAGACCGGGAGTCTGTAGAGCCTTTTGAAACCATGGTTCCTCTTGCTTGGCCCTGACATCCAAGCCGGGTCACTCCGCTCGGAGCCAGCCGGGTGCTGCAGCTGCCCAAAAAGCCAACGCAATCCTTGGCTGCATCAGCGGCTTCCCCTCGGTCACCTGACCGTGCTTGACCATGATTCTTTTCCAGCAAAAAAACACCCTTTGCGGACAATGGGATTGGTTAAGGACCCCGGCATGGTGACTTATTTAACGACCCCTGCAAAAAACAAAGTCATAAAATCAGTCACCGTCACGCAGTGATCCCTCCTTATTGACCCGCCCGACTTAAAGCTTTGATTCCAAGCGGAGTCGACTTCTCCTATCATTTTCCAGAACCGTTGTCATAAGTGTCCTTGTGAATGGCTGGGGAATTCTGGGAGCTGAAGTCCACAAGTCTTAAAGTTGCCACGTTTGGAGTTCCCTGGTTTACACCGTTGGTTTTCCGTGTCTCTCCATCCAAAATCTGCAGTTGGGGCCTGGCCCACCGCGGGGGAACGTTTTTGCTGTGGGAAAGAAAGGCACCCACTCCCCCACCCTTGGAAATGCTGCTTTGCTTCGGCCTGGTTGCGCGGTGCATGGCGTGTTGCCTTTTTGCGGTGAGCTTTTGTGCCAGATCCCACCCAAGTGAGCAGATGGCCTCGCAGGACCCTAGATGGCCCATCGTGAAGAACGAAGAATTTCTCATAGCTCATAGGACAGGACAGGAGGTCTGTCTAGGCCAGGGGTCTCCAGGCCTGGGCAAATTAAGACTTGTGGACTTCAACTCCCAGAATGGCATGGCTGGCTGGGGAAATCTGGAAATTGAAGTCCACAAGTCTTAAAAGTGGCTGAGTTTGAGGACCCCTGGTCTACCTTCATCCCAACACCTGGGGAGGGGGAAACGGAATGGTCTCACCATCTGGGGAGGGGGCTGCTGCCGTCTGCCACTCTGGCTGGGGGACGGGCCGGCTGCATTCCTACGGTCACCCCTGTTGTGGCTGCCCCCGAGGCAACTTCGTTGTGTCGAATGTTGGCGGTTTGGTGTCTTCTAATGTTGACCTGCTTTTCCGTTTGTCCTGTGGTTCCCCACAGCTTTGGAGTGACGAGGTGGAAAAAGTAAGTACTACCAATATTCTGGTATTCCTCTTTCTTTTCTTTTTTTTAAATCCAAAAATGTCAGTAGCCAAAAATAAAAATCCACGGCAGTTAAAAAATAAAATGAAACGGTGTTTGGTCAATAAAATGCAGAAAACGGGCTGAAAGGTCTGATCGGTGTAGCGTGGGTGGGGGGGGTGGATATATTTAGAATATTTGGAATATTTGCAGTAGCCACGGTGCCCTCATTCGAAGGATGCTCCACGGTTTGGTTTTTGCAGGCGGAGCACGAACTGCGACTGGCCCAGACGGAGTTTGACCGACAGGCCGAAGTCACTCGGCTTCTCTTGGAAGGCATCAGCAGCACGCATGTGAGTTTTTGATTTGATGGTTACGTTTATCTGCCCCCTGTCTCGTCCTAGGACTCTCCTAGGTGGCCTCCAGTAATACAGGTAGTCCTCGACTTAGTTCATTTGGTGACCGTCCAAAATCACAACGGCCCTGGAAAAAGCGGCTTACGATCTTTGTAGTGCCATCTTGTAAAAACATTGAGGACCTGCTGCTTGGAATCGGCTGTTAAATTTCAGCCAGAGCCCTAACCTTCCTTGAACAATCGGCTGGCTTTCCTTTCCCCTCTCCAGGTCAACCACCTCCGATGCCTCCATGAGTTTGCAGAAGCTCAGACCACGTATTTTGCGCAGTGCTACCAATACATGTTGGACCTCCAGAAGCAGCTGAACAGGTAGCTAAATGGTTTGGGGTTTTTTGGTGTTGTTTTTTGGTGCCACTAGGGTATATTAAAGGGAGAATATTTGGGGGTGTGTGTGCCATGAGTGCGATGCTAAGGGCCAGAGGTTGCCCTCTTTGGAGATTCCTGTCTGAAAAATTTGGCCAAACTTAAAAAGTTTTGGAGGGTCTTCAGAACTGTTGATGGTCCTCAACAGTTTTCTGACAGTGAGAAAACAATTAACGAGTGGAGCGGCTTTTCTCTGGAGATGGTGGGTGCTCCATCACAGGAGGCTCAACCTTATTATTCTGTGTTCTCTGTTCTGTTCATATTGAAGTTCAGAAATTTGGGTGGATTTTTTTTTCATTTGTTGTCTTCTGTTCTGTCCCTCCCTGGCTTTCAGCTCCAGAGGAGAAATGTAAGTAAAACAATCTGATTTTTTTTTTCAGTGGTTTATTTTTAATGGAAACCATTTCAGGGTTATAACCTTTCCTATGATTCCTGTGTTTTGTCCACTTGTGAATGCTCCAACATTGGAGGTTTTCAAGAAGAGCCTGGACAGCCATCTGTCCAGAATGGGGTAGGGTCTCCTGCTTGAGAAGGGAGCTGGACTAGAAGACCTCCGAGGTCCCTCCCAACTCTGTTATTCTGTCATTGCTAGCCTTAGTGGCACAGTTCACACAACTCAGTTGCTAAACCTGGCTAGTTTTAAGCTGGCGGTGTGAATCCCGTGGCTTGGCTTAGCAGAGGAGTCTGTGCAGCCTCAGAAAACAGCCAAGTTTATGTATTGAGTAAACAAATTATCTCTTTGTCACACGAGTCCCCCACTCACACACGGTGGCTGCGAGTTCTGTAACTGAGTTAAGCGAGTTGAACCACCGGAGCCGAAAGGTGGAAGGGCCGGCCGGCAACTTCCCTTCCTCGGTTCTTCTCTCCTCCAGGCTGCCGGGGACCTTCGTGGGCAACGCAGAGTCCACGTCGCCCCCGCCCAACGCTGCTTCCCCGACAGGCATGGTCACTGCCACGGGGCCCGCCGTGCCCACCCTCCCGGTGGTGCCCACGATCGCCGGGGCACCCAATTCAGCTCCGGGGGTTGAAGCGCTGAACCCCAGCGAGGTGAAGCCCCCGACCAGCGGGACCCGGAGAGCCCGGGTGCTGTATGACTACGAAGCAGCGGACAGCAGCGAGCTCTCCCTCCTCTCGGATGAGGTTGGCACCCCCGTCCCCTCGTGCCAGGCGCGGGTAGAACGCCCGGCACCTGGGCAGCCCTGCAGAGGTCCTCAGCCCCCGGCTCGGCTATGGCTAACTTAACCCTCTGGATGTTTGGTTAGGGTTAGGGCAACCCCTGACCCCCTTCCGTCTCTTCTCTTTCAGATGATCACTGTGTACAGTCTCCCAGGGATGGACCCTGACTGGCTGATTGGAGAGAGGGGGAACAAAAAAGGCAAAGTCCCCGTCACCTACTTAGAGCTGCTGAGTTAAACGCACCGCCTGGCAAGGACTCTTCAAGCAAAACCCTCGTCTCTCTTCTTTTTTCTTTTTTTGTAAAGGCTGAAACCGATTCATTCTGAGATCACTCGCGCTCACTATTTATTATTATTATTATTGTTGTTATTATTTTGGGTTCTTGGGATGTGTGGATTAAGGCCCCCAAAGGAGTGGAGGGTGAATCCCATTCATCCTGGTTGGCTTTGAGAATTGTTGGGAGCTGCTGGGAAGGCACCCCCGGCCCCTGTTGGAGATGGCAAAGTGGGGTCATGAGGACTAGCCACTTTAGAGATCCTTCCTTCCTTCCTTTTCTCCCTCCCTCCCTTTCCATCCTCCCTCCTTTTCCCCTTTTCCTCTTCCTTCCCATCTTCCTATCTCTCTTTTCTTTCCCTCTCTCCCTTTTCCTCCTTCCTTCCCCCTTTTCTCACCCTATTTCCCTCGTCCTGTCTTTTTCGGAGTCTTCAGTCGATTTTAGACATTCCAGGGGGGGTGATGTGGAGAGAGAAAGGAGCTTTTTTCCTGATTGCAGGCCAAGCCCCCCCCCATGCCATCCAATTGATTCCATTCCCAGACTTTGAGCCAGTTGGAGAAGAAAACTTTTAGCTTTGGAGGCAGAAACGACCCCTCCCTGCCTGGGTCAGTCTTTTTGATAAGATAGAAAGATCCTAAGAATTTTAACCAAATCTGCAACTCGGCTGAAGTTTCCTTAACGGTTAAGCTTTGATTCCCTGGCCGTGCACCAATTCCACCTCTTGTACTGTAACTGCCTTCTTGTGTGGAAACACACACACACACACACGCAAACACATCTGCCTGCAGATTGAGGAGCCCGGACTTGTCTCTTCACGCCCCACAGCTCAATCTTTGGGGTGCTTCTCCCGAACTCGAAGCCATATGTAGAGCCAGTGTAAACCTAGCACAGAGCATGGAGCAGATTCAACCGCCGCCCTGCGGCCTGGGGCTGTGTGGCCCAGCGCTTGGCCGGCCTCCCTCTGTGCGCTTTGAGGCCGATGTCCGGTCGCAGAGCCCTTCCGTCGGTGCATTTATTTTGAATGACCTGCTTGCAGGCCTGTTGTCTCGTTCTCCCAGTGGGCTTCATTTGATCCCCTCCGAGTTTCTTCGTTAAGAGAGCCACACGGGGTTTAGGTAATTCTGCTCTTTCTGGAGATCCGTTCCGGGCTGGGAACAGAATTTCAGGATTTCTGAAGCTTCCCTGGAACTGTGGGACATTGCCAAATCTATTGGGCAGAGATGTTTGGTAGATGGAAGACTCTTGCTTGGTGTGATCTTTGGCAAAGGATGTGGTGGTTTTCACAAGCCCGTCGTTTTTAAAAATACTTCCAGATAATATCAGGTTCCACAGCAGGAGCCGAAATCATGAATCCTAGAAATGAAGATTGGACCTTAAACTGTTTAGCAGCAGGGGGATCCACCTCCCCCCCCCCAGTGTAAAACATTTTATCCTTCCTAAGTTATAGATGTTTTTCCCGTGTGCTCGGTTTAAAGCTTCTGCATGGTTTCCCCCATGGGGTTTTTTTTGTGTGTGTGTTCTCCGGTGCTTGGCATGTATCCCTGGTCCGAGTCAGGAACGCGTCTGCCCGCTGGGACCACGGATCCGGGAGCCCTCGCCAGGAGGAGGCAGCAAGTAAGCGAGGCCCATTTTTCTGTGTGTGGGGGTGCCTCTGGGGGTGCCCCCCATCTTTCCTTGCAACTGTTTGTATTCTGCAACGGTTCTGCTTTTTTCTTTTAAGTTCCTTTAACTGCAGACTTTGAAGTGGGCCAAGAGCTCAGATGTAAAGGAAATGCCCGAAACTCTTGTTACTGCTATCTTTGATTAATAAAAAGTTAGAGCTGCTATTCGCTTCGGCCGACTTATTCCAAAAAAGCAGGATGTCTGTGACTCTTTGAGCAAAACGTTTTTTTTTCCAGGCTAGGCAGAAATCACAACTCCCCCCCCCCCAGTGGTTAGGGAAATGCAAGTAGTCCTCAGCTTAGGATCACAACTAAATGAGACATTTCTTAAGTGAGCTTTGCTCCGTTTTATAAACTTGCTTGCCGATTGTTAAGTGAATCACTGCTAGTAACACGGTTGTTAAGTGGATTTGGCTTCCCCCAGACTTTGCTTGTCAGAAAGTCCCAAGTCCCAACCGTCGTAAGTACATGCCAGTTGCCTGGATTTTGATCACACCATCATGGGGAGGCTGCCAAGGTTGCAACTGTGAAAAACTCGGTTCTGCTCACCACCCACCCCTGGGGTGACACGGCTGCTGTTCCACCCACCCACCCCTGGGGTGACACGGCTGCTTTTCAAATACTTGGCAACTGCGAGCTTTTACAACAGCTTGCAACATCCCACACATCACAACTGCAATCTGCAATGTTTGTGGCGTTTTTGCCAACGTTTGTGAGCATTTAGTTCTGGTAAAAACAATGGGTTCGCTTAGCAACTGGCATTTTGCTCAATAACCAGGCCCTGACTTAACCACCGTGGTGATTCGCTTAACAACCTCTTCCCAAGAAGGTAGTAAAACCGGGTCAGTCACAGGATGACCTGCTTTACAACCAGAATGGGCAGGTTAAGTCAGTAAAACGAGGACCCAGATTGCTGGGGGCAATAGGCTGACGTTGTAAACTGCCCAGAAACGGCTGTAAAGAGCTATGGGGCAAAGTCTAAGCGCCATTGCTGTGTTGCTGTCGTAATTTGAGGAGTTCCTGTGTTTCCACCTCTACCCAAAGCAAAGCATGCTTTATTCCGGACATTTAATCTGACAGTTGCAGATTTTTTTTTGTAGACTTAGGGGTTGACCTTAAACCAGTGTGGAAGCCGAAGTATCGGAGGCCTCTCTTGAGTTCTTCCAACAGTTTTACACGCTGCTTTGTTCCTTCCAAAAAAAAAGGGTCTCCTCCGAAAGCGGAAACCAAACGGGGCTGCCTTGTGAACATTCAAGAGGTTGGAGACCCAGCATTGCTTAGAAACGTGTTTAATCAATATAAATAGGAAACAACTCGTACAAAAGGGAGACTCAAGCAATGGAATTCTGATCCTGTCTGGAAAAAGGATCGAGGCCTTTATAAAAATATCTCCTCTGCCCTCGGAACGGCAGAGACGGGTCCCGCTGGCCCCACGGAAAGCAGGGGAGGGGGGGGTCTCTGCCCTTAGCTGGCAAAGCTCCGCCACAAAACCGTCCTTGAACTATGAGATTAATGCCCAATGTTTTTCCCCGAGGGGATATTCACGCTCTCGCCATCTGCTTTCCATCCTGGGCTGTACGTAAGCTAGAAAAATAAGGGACAGGCTTACCGAGGCCAAGCCAGATTTACTGGCAACTCAGGTGTTGGGGGGGATTTCCCCACAGGCAGGTTCCTTTGCTGGCAGGGACCAGCCAATGCCGCCCTGGCGGTGGAGGTCCCAGAAGCCGTGGAGACGAACTGGAGGGGGGGATCATCTTGAGCCGGGGTGGGTGGCCTCTATCTTTGCACGTGTCTGACAAAGGTCTGCACCAGCTGGAAGAGGGGCTCCTGCCCTTCCGGCCCCAGCTTGGAGGAGGGCTTTCCCTGTGGAGAGGGGAGAAGGCCCCCGGCAGGCGAGGAAGGACCTCCACGGCGGAAGTAGCGAGACAGGCTGGAGAGCAGCGTGCTCTGAGAAGGGAACACAGGATTAGGTCATTCCTTCTGCAGGACGTGTTACATTAGTGGTTAAGAGGCCGGTCTAGAAACCAGGAGGTGGTGAATTCTAGTTCTGCTTTCGCCACGAAAGCCGGCTGGGTGACTTCGAGCCAATCACCAGGGGCCGGGGAGTTCTAGTCCTGCCTTAGGCATGAAAGCCGGCTGGCTGTCTTTGCGTGCAGCTCCATCTGCACAAGTGGCGGGCGGGTGCACCCTCCGCCCGTGCAAATGGCACTCGTGTGTGTGGCCAGGGGCCAGGCCGCAGCCCGGAGGATGGGGACCCCTGCTCTAGACCGGGGACCCCACGGAGCAAGGGCAGCCCATACCAGCTCTGAGCTGAGCTCCTGTTTCATGCGCTGTTTATCTCGCGAGTGCACCGCCGGATCCTTCAGATACCGAACCGCCTGAGAGATGAGCAAGTAGAAGCAGTTTTCCATCGTAAACATCAGGAGAGGCCTGGAACAGAGACGTGGTTTGTTGACCCGCTGAAAAGCACTAGCTGAGGGGTGGGGAGCTCTGGCCCTGCTGGCTCAGGAATTCTGGGAGTTGAAGTCCACCAGTCATAAAGGGGCTACAGATTTCCCCACCTCCGCCCCAGCATGGGCTGGCATGGAGAGGAGTGGGCTGAGGAACGGCATTTGCCGGAGAAGTGACTTGAAAGCTCACAGCAAACACCTTTAGAAAACGGATTTCTTTTCCGGTTCCTTGTTTCAAAGGGGGTCAAAACCCCCCCAGGGACCTACTTGAGCGTCTTGTTCTCTTCCTGCTGGGGGGAGGGCCCTGCAGCCAGAGTGAAGGGGTCCTTCTTCTTATCCAGCTTTGGGGAGGGGGAAAGAAAAGCGGCATTAGAACTCAAGACGAAGAAGTCATGAGTCATTTTTTTTCCAGTGCCATTGTAACTTCAGTCACTTGAACTACCGTTCCAGCCTGAGCTTGCCTCTCCGCTCTGCACAAGGCCCGCTGAACTCTTACCTCCCCTAGCATGTTCAGGGTCACGTTGACGGTGGCCAGCAGGGTCCCAAAGGAGGGCGGCACCTCCGAGTCGAAGGCAGGCGTCGTAAAGCTCAACATGAAAAGGATGTTGTACTCCGCCAGGTCCAGGGACTGCAATGGGAAGCAGAGTCAAAATGCACACCCCATCGTCTGAATGTGTCCATTGATGAAATCAGAGAACAAGCCCAGCAGGAAAGCAGCTTTGGGACACTCCTGAGAGTACAAACTCTTTGGTGTCTCATGAAAAACCGTCTCTCTCTTCCTGGGAGGCTTTTGGCTCCTCTACCTGGTCGAGAAGGATCTGGCAGATGTCAGGGGTGAAGTGGCGTAAGGCCGCCAGACACTTGCTGAGGATTTTCAGCAGGCTGTACTGGACGGTG